TCCAGCGGCGTCGCGCGGAGCGTTTGACCCGTAGATGCCGTCCGCGTCGGACGAGGCGGGGGTCCGCGTCAGGCCTGCTAGCACACACAGCCATACGCCGCATCCAGCGATCACTGTGAGGTGGTTTCACACAAGGTAGTTTGTCCGTTCCGGCAATATTTGCTTATATTTCGTTGCTGAAGACACTTTATTCTGTTGCGTTCCGATGTTTTACACTTGCGATCCTTAAAGTCGATGTACTTGAATTGATGACTAGAAAATTGTACTAACCCCTGCAGGAGTACAGTGCCTTGAATTTCAGCTTTTCAGTTCCAGCTGGAAAGAGATGTAAAATTATTTGAAAGGTGTATTTTATTTACAATCTGCTTGTGAGTTGAAGTTCTTTTTGTTTGCAAAAATATCGAAGGTTTACAGTCAGTGTTCTTCATCAGCTTCATTCTGCTGTAAATGCTTTTATTTTAATTCATGGGTTGAATTTTCATTTCTGAAGCTTTTGAAAAAAATAATAGTTGTGAGGTGAGATTTGTTTGAGATGCCGATCAAAAAATTGTCTGTGTTTGTACAAGGAGTAGTGAAATGCACATATTTTGAAATAGGAGCATTTACAGAGTGATCCAAGTAACTTGTATATAAGGACAGGTAATAGCTTCGGGCAGTGCAATTCATTCTCTTCCCCAGTCTTTGGTAAGGTGTTGTAGATGGCAACTTATTTCTCTGACAGGCAGGCAAATACTGTTTTCTTCTGGATCAGCGGCGAATTGGATTACATTTTTTTCCCCTACTGGGCTTTTATAATTTAGTTAAATTACAAATTCATGCATGTTTTGTAAGTGAAGAAATCTAACTGAAATCTTGATTGTAGGAGAACATATCTCCAGGTTACTGTAAGAACTGTGTAAGTACAGCACTTGCGCATATTCTGGCTTTGGTTCGGCCACCAAGGTTAAGAATGGTGTTTTGCCACTGACCTGCTAGCAGTATTCACGCTAAAACAGAATAAAAATGTGAAGCTCTTCTTTTTCATATCTGATACTTCGGTTTTGGAGTCTCACCATCTTTTGTTTGAAAATTCTTATTTTTTTAATTCTTATTTTAGTTTTAATTAAGTTTACGCTCTAGGTGGTATGGACACCTCTCTCCTGTTTGAAAGTTGCTTTTTGCCAGTTTTACCGTGCATAGAGTCTCCGCCTGCACCTCTCAGTCTAAAGGCACAAGATAACCACTAAAACTGATTTGCTGATGGTAAGTCTCCTTTCCCTTGAAAGCGCTAAGGGAGAGCGTTACAGGCACAGGTCACAGACCGTGTGGTCACATCTGAAGGCACGTTGCTCTGTATCTCTACTGCGATGACATTTTATACTGTCTGCTGAAGGGCAGAGATGTCTTGTGCTGCCAAGCTGTGAATTGTATAGTTCTATTGTACTTTGAGCATTATATCTGTCTAAATTATTTTGTTTGTACCCTTTGAATATATTATTCCATCAATTCAGTTAGAATTGAATTTTATAGACAATTATGCAGAGTCTTCTGCCTGGGCAAAATACTTACTGTAGTAAGAGATTTCTGTTCTCTGTAACATGTATCTTTAATTTGTTTGGGTTTTTTAGATTCATGTCTGTATGCTTCATGAGCAAACATGGAAAATATGTTCTCACACCAGTTTTCCTTCGGCTTGCACTGAATCTTACAGTTTATGTCGCTATTGCCTGTTGTATAGTCCATCCCTTGTATACTGACAAAGTCAGTGGCACTAAAAGCCCCAAGAAATTGTATAGATTAAAAAGAAGAAAAATAAACATTTTGTGCTTGAAAATTGTGTGAAAAACCCAGTGTTTTTCTAAAATGTAGAATTGTGTCAATTCCCAGCTGTTCCAGGTAACTCTACATTTGTTTTCCAGACTCTTATCCCTTGACTTGCATAGAAGGAGCAGATGTGATGCCTCCACTGTTCCTCAGGTTCTGCCCATAACTGACACGTCCCACCTCTTGGCAGCTGTAGAAGTGAAACGGTGCTCCAGAAGTCGCGTAGTGCCACCTTGCAGGTTACATTGCTTGAGATCCCCTGCCCGCTGTGGTATTTCTGGCATTACGCTGCTGCAGACTGGAACATTAAATGGGTTCCTTTAAGCAGATAGTATCTTCAGTATTGCTGGTGGTACACGTGAGGATGTTAGAGTTTGGTAGGTGGTGAAAGAGGCACGTGGAGTGTGTCTCTCCTCCACTGAAAAGTGCTAGGGAAGCCCTTTTAACTTGATCCTGGCATCATCTAAATGCGAGGAAGCGAAGATATGAAGTTCAGCCACGGTGCAAGCACCCTCTTGGCAGTTGCCATCGTCGGTGTTAGGCTGCAGGAGAAATTAGGGAAGGACATGCAGGAAGAGGTTTGATACTCCTGCTTCTGTCTTCCTGTGCATCCAACCCGTGCGGCTTTGCTGTATGTGCTGCGTGTGTTTGAAAGTCTGCGGTCTGTGCTGCAGCTTGCAGGGAGTCCTCTCCTCCGAGGCCAGCGGCTGCGTTGCATGTGCTGTGTGCCCGGGCAGAGCCGGTGACGGGCAGGGGGGACAGCCCGTGTGAGCGAGGCTTAAATGCAGCTTCCAAATTTCTGGTGGGTGTGTTCCTAACTGTTGCATCTTTAGCTGGCATTGGGGCCAAATAATGGCTCGGAGGTTGATGCTTGCATTTCAGTATTCGTGATTTTAACTTTCTCATAGCTGTCTTGGCTGCAATTCTTCTGACTATTAACTTCAAGCTACGTTTTGTTGCCCCCGATGGTGTCAAAGGGTACTTTGACCCTCAGTGGCAATTAAGCCAACGACTTGAGTTGAAACAAATGGGACAATTTCTTGAGCAAAAGGCGAGCAAAGGAGCGAGAGGGACCTGAGGGGCCCGTGCTACACCATCAGAGGTGGGGGGTCTGTACCCCAAAAGACATTCCCCTGGAGATCCCAGAACTGAACTAATTTTATTCCTGACTCTGAATACTGCTTTGATGTGCAGCCAGCAGGGGTCAAACCCACTGGGTAGGATTTGCCACCTTGCCGGTTGCAAGCCCGCAGCCATGTCCCGTAGCTCTGCCGTCTCGCAACGTTCTCAGCGCTGCTCTGCAAGGATGTGTGTGAAGTCAGCATGGATCCTCAGCTTTAAATACGAGGTTTCGATGAGGGAGCTCGCAGATCCCCCAATTTTCAATCTTTTAGAAGTTACAGAAACTTAATACAAATACCGAAAGAATGTTTTAAAACTGCCAAGTCATGCACCCAGTAGTTCAGAAATGCCAAATTAAGTTTGCCCGTATGCCATTAATTTGGCTTTCCGATTGCTGTACATCATGACGGAGTATCTAAATGCGTAATCACGTTCTGTTTTCCCACTGCATCCCTGGCTTGCTTGGGCTGGGCGGGGAGGAGAGCCGCTGCCGCCGGCGCTGCTTGTCTGTCTGCCGCAGGGATGCAAAGCGGGGAGCCGGAGATGGTAGGGAGAAACATTTGAGCTGTTTAAGGCTCTTCTGCAAATCCTGATTCAACCTCCCTGATGCGGATTTCATTCAAAAGACTGATGTAAAATTGGCCCTTGCAGTTTCTTTGCATGTTTAACTCTGGTCTTCACAACTTTAAAGAGGTAATACTACTAAACTATTACTTTACACCTATCTCCAAAGTGCTCCTTTTTTGCTGTCTACTGTATAACTTCTTTACTTTTCCCTGACATATTTGACATCGGCTGGTATCAAAGACAAGATGAGGGACTGAATGGGCCAAATGTGGCGGTCTCTTTGCTCCTATGGAGATATTCATGTTGGGGAATAGGGCACGCTTGTGCTAAATGGCGGTATTTCTGAAATGAACTTCTTAAGTTGCAGGTTTTGCCATTTGGTATTTGTGGAAGGAAATCACTAATACTTCTGAATCAGTCATTAGTCTACCTTGGCTTTGTTAGTGGTGGCTCTTTCCCTTCAAGCTTTTTTTGGTGGTCCCTTGTGCGCTATTTTCAATTCTGAGAACATTCAGAATTTTTCCAAACAAGCCCCGTGGACTTAGCGCTTGGTGGGTCCGTGTCTGTATTGTTCAGTTAGCGCATGTTTGAGTAGGAAAACGATCCATCCTCCTACGTTCTTTGGAAGTTGGCTTTGGAGAGTTGTAATCAGAAGTCTCCCTTCTGAAGTGATGTGACGTCAGCATTGCTTTCCCTGTCATCCCCCCCCCTAATTAAGCAGAGGGTTCAAGTCTTTTTGAGTAAGACTGATGTCTCGGATGTTAGCTAGTATGGCAAAAACCTACCTAGTTTTCTTCCTTGCTGCCAACTACTCCCCACCTGAGTTTTCAACAGATGCTGTTGAAAGTGTTTGCTTGGAGACAGAAGACACAAATTAAATAGTTCATGACTATGTTTAATACCTTTGTAAGGTTTCCTTGCATTCTCTGGTTCCTTGTCTGCCCTTTGCAGTCCCCGATTCCTGGTGGTGTTTGTGGAGAAGGATGGCAGTGCTGGAGAGGTGTGTGGTTGCTGAACGTGAGCAAGGTCTCCCTGCAGAGCAGGGAGTTCGTGCGCTCTTCGTTGTCACAGGTGGATGAATCTCTTGCTATGGGATTGAATTTATAAAACAGAAAAACTATAATCGTGTGGAATTTCTTGCTATGGTTATTTATTATTGATTGAATCCTTGAGGAGCATTTCTTTAATTTGTGGTGTTGGGCTGTGGTTGGCTGGCGCTTAGGCAGGCTGCGCTTCAGTTGAGTATTTGGGCAAGCTGGCTGTTGTGCTGATCCTTGTGGTGTTTCTTCTGAAGGAATCTGGTAAATACAATTATTTTCCTGTCTATATATATACTCCTCAAATGAACCATTGATCAAATGGGAATTGTATTGTGACTTATACATGTCAGTGACTTTTGACTGGGGCGATACTTGCTTTTTCAGGTAGGTCTGTTTGTGGAGCCATCCCTGCAGATGCAGCAGGAAGGTGACGTTCCAGCCCTGACCGTGCTGGTTCTTTTATTAATGCAGATAGGCTCCAGAAGTGCAACATAATGAAATGGATTTTAGGAGCTGCCAGGTTACAAATTCTGCATTATGAAAGAATTTGTTGCTCAGAGGGATTTGGATGTCCTGTGATGCTGACGTTAGCTGTGTCGGTAAATAGATTACTTATAACTGATTCATCTAAAAGTCACGTTTATACCAGGAAGCAGCAACTTTTGTAAATTATGTGGTCCTTTCTGCTTTTTTTTTTCAGAGTGACAGTTGTAGTGTACTATCAAGACTGTTGCTATATACGCTTAGATCTATATTTGACTATAAAACTTCTCCCTTGAAATAACTTTCACATGAAGAGTGTAGAGGCTGCGTAATTCAAGCCTTCAGTCTTGCACGCAAAGCCTCATTAAGCTTTCGATTTTGCTTGGTACGTGTGCAGAAGCTATGCATAGAAGACTACCTACTATTTTGATGAAGTATCTGGTGTAACAGTGAAATTCTTGTGACAAGTTCTTGGTTTTTCAAAGTCGGGTGAGCAAGGGAAGTTATATTAATTTCTTTTGATGTAGTGCCACCGGATGGATTCACAGTGTATATTTAGCACGTTGTTGTAGTTGCACATGAACAAGGCAGGAGGAAAAGTTAGGATTTTTTCTTTCCCCTCGGAAAGGAGCAGATCCCCATACTTTGCCTTTCATTATTGAGGCACCACTGAGTGCAGCTACGGCAACATTGCTCTCGAGGAGTTTCAGGTGACAGGATGGGCATGGTGAGAGCCTTCTGAGCCACTCTTCTGGGGACTTTTTTGTGTCTATCATACTTTTTCTGAGATATCCAGGGCTCTGTCACCTTGTAAAAACCTAGGAAATTTAAGAAGAAATAACCAGCTGCCAGTCCTTCTCAAATGGGTGTTCTTTAGATCTGACATAAAATACCCCAAAAAAGTATTTACTTGTGTGTTGTTGGGTTTTTAATTTACTTTGCAAATAAGGTAAAAAATTCCTCGGCATTCAGTTTTTATTTATCAGGGTAGATAGACTATATCTAATATCTTTTTCACTGTTAGTCGCAGCTACAAGATGTGCAATGACTGCCTTTTTCCCACAGTTCTTCCCAGCCCCAAGAAAATTTTGAGTATAACTGAGTTCGCTCATCTCCTTGGTGCTGTTGCCTGTTCATTCTTTCAAAGTTCAGACTGACTTCAGAATAAGAAGTCCAGAGGTTGTCCTCGGGACGTGGGCTAAGCATCTGCG